TACATCACTAAAATATATTTTAATTACCATAACGAATTAAATTTTTAGTTGACCAATTACTGAAATACAAAATAAAATATCAAACTACCTTCGTTTAGTTTTTTCCTGCTTAGAATATGCGAAAAACTCTTATTCATGTCTGATAAAATAAGAAATGAACATTTATCCTTGTTATTTACTTTGAGAAAATTTCAACTGAAGCAGAATAACTTTTTTTATAAGAAAACTATTTAAAATAGAATAAAAAAATTTTTCCTCTGATATTTTTTCACTGTCAGCAGATAATGTACAAATATTCAACGCAAATATAACTTTTTTTCTGTTAAGGAATCACATAAAAAAATGATCAACAACGGATAAAACCCATATTCAATCATGAGGAAAACAAGTAATTAATTGAGTTATTTGCAGCAAAGTTTAAGCAGAAGTTCAAAATATAACAGTGAAAGTTAACCTATCAAATAGAACGATCATCTCATTTCGAAATAAGCATAAAACAAAAATTCTTATTCAGTTCTGATTTTGCACCTCTATTAAGTCAGTCGATAAATAAAAATGCACGAGCTAATTTATACTGGGAAAAATATAAAATAGTCTTAGTCATTTTGAAACATTCGTTTTTAGAAAATGGCACCATCAAAGAAGAAGAAAAATAATAATAATAGTTCACCATCGTCACGATTAAAAACTCTAGCTGAAGAAATATTAATCGATCAAAATAGAATACTAATAGAGAACAACAAACGTTTAGAACAAGAAATTGAAAATCTTAAACAACAGTTAATGGAAAAGTAAAACATTTAAAAATACATTAAGTGCTCAGTATTTTTCGAATATGATTTTGAAATAGGACAACTGTTGATCAGAGAGGTTTTCAACTCAAACTACCTCGAGTTGTTCTGAATCAACCAAATGTTATGTTTGAAAATAATTTAATATACGACATATTGAAAGATAACGAACCATAATTCATATTTAAAAAGTCAAAAGCATAAAAAAACACAAAAAAACTTTTAGGTAGATTTTTTATATTAGTCGATTGACATCTAAATAGAGATATAGAAAATAGATTCTCAACAGACAAAAAGTATGAAGGAGTCGATTTTAATCAGTTAAATTTAAAGATAGAATAAATTTTGACGTGTTTTTATCATAGGATAGATTTATATTAAATAAATCTCTAAAAACTAACAGTAACTATGTTCTAAAGTTGAAGTATATATATAGACAGATATTTTGAAAAAAAATGCATTTTAATGGATTAAACTCTGAGATAAATATATGTAAACAGACTTCTTAAATCGAAATAAATATTGATCAACTTTTTGAGATTTAAATATCGAATCTCGTCAAATAAATGATACAAATATTATTTTAATCGGTTATTTGTTACAGAAAATTCATTATAATGCATTTTCGACTGTTTGCCATTGTAATTCATCGAAATATTCTCTCTATGATTTTTAATATTGTTTCTTCGGATATTCTATTAATGTTTTTCAACTTTTTTAAGCAGAAAATGAAGAAGAAGAAGAAGAAGTAGGACAACAAGATCAACAACGACAACAAGGACAACAACAACACCAACAAGAACAACAACCAAATGAAAAACAGAGAAAACGTATAAAAAACAAAAAGATAAAGAAAATGGCAAACACGTTAGGTTTATCTTACATACAATTGAAAAATTGCAAAAAGAGCCGTATCACCGCAACATGCCGACAGGTTATCAAAGAAATATATTCATCCAATGAACAACGGGCGATGGAACGTATTTCGACTATGTGCCCAAACAGACTTCAGGCAATTCGTTGTGAGTTTCTCTCTTTGTATCAAACACGGCAACTTTAAAACGATTTTTTTTCTAGCCTTCGCCCGATTAGCACACCCAAAAGCAAAGAAAACGTCTACGTACATCCTCAACAATGCGATCGGCAATGTTTTTGCACATGCACGACTATGATTATAACTTTTTTGTTATAAAATAAAAAAAAGAAGAATTTTGTTGAAAAATAAGCAGTTATAAAATATCGATATAGCGTAGGTTTTTCCGGATCGTGCCACCATTATTGATATTCTTTATCAGTAACAGTTTGCTCCATTTTTCACGAAATTATCTTTCAGGACATTAAATACGATCAGTAGCAAAAGTTGTTGCACCTTGATAATGTACTAGCATTACTCATTGCCAACAATTATCGTAAGAGGAACAGTACACCATAATAAACTCAGTCCTTAGGTCTCTCCGCTCAAGTTCTCACGAACGTATCCAAAAGAACAGGCTATACCAGACCACTATCACTGAAACGAAAAAACAAGTTTCACAGGGTAAGTACTTTCACTCTGTATATTCTTCCGATTCCACCTGAAGCTCATAGCAAACCTAATCCCATCAAAGAAAGTGAAAAACCTTCCGCCGCCTCCTATACGGAAATAGGTCTGTACGTCCTATACCGCCTATACCGTCTTATACCGTATTAAATCGCTTGATTGTCTATAAAGATGTCGCAAAAACCAGTTTCCCGGAGAACACTATAAAACATCAAATCTACAGTTAACACAATTCTTTTTCACAAGTCATGTGTAAAACGATGTGTGTTAAATTACAGTCTATTAGGCTCAAAGATTGATGAAGATCGTAGCTTTTAATCTATCAATGAAATATATATAACTTACGATAAAAGTGTAGGTTCAACAAATGATTCTTCACGTTCCGAGATATCGAAGATGAATAGGCGGATCTCATTTAGATTTTGCTTCAGTAATTCGAAGACGTCGAAATCAATATTTTTCACAAAACCTTTTTCAAGAAACCGTACATTACTATATCCCCAATAATATCTGCATAAACCCTTCTGGTAGAGCCATCGTTTACTATTTCCAGCAGTATTTGGAAGAACACTGCTGATGAAGCTGTGAATTACTGTTCCGTAGATAACATTTGCAAAAAACGATTTTCTCGGAATCGCGGATCGTAATTCCCTGTATCGTAGCTGAACGAACGTTAGCCTAGAAACATAGTGAATAAAAACCGTTTAAAATCTCTATAACCTCTCACTTCAAAAACCCACTTTCATGCCAACGGTTTTTTCGTATATGTAAACTACATAAATCCTCGTAGGATTTATGTATCATTGAAGTAAAGACGAGGCTTTTGTATTATACTATTCCTTTTTTCAGAGTGCACTAGTCCCATAAGTGGACATGCGTTCACATACCACACCCTCAGCTCAGTGTGAGCGAGTAAGGCAGATGAAAAAGATATAAGCTGTTTATTATGAAATTGGAATATTAGATGAAGAAGTTGTGATAGAAAATCATGAAAGAACTGAAAAAAAGAAAGAAATCAAAATATTAAAACAAGGAAGCTCCATTTGATAAATTTGATAAAGTAAAAGCATCAGTCGAAAATAAATGGTCAAAACACTATAAAAATTAAAGCATGAAAGAACTAAAAAAACATATAAAAGAAAATGATTTGGCTTGGTTATAATGTGATAGTTCTGTTTATTAAAGTATCGTTTAGTGTTAAGATTACATGCACGATTAGGCATCAGTCCAATGGCTGTTAATTAGTTCGAGACAACTAATATAACTCAGCACTATTCAAATAAACATAGCCCAAAAGCCCATTCAAACCCGAACTATAATAATATCCACCACTAACTAATACTTTTCCGTTGTTTAATACAGATGCTGTGTGCTGATATCGTGCATCAGTCATATTACCAATAGTTGTCCAATTTCCTGTTGATGGATCATATAATTCAGCACTATTTAGATAACCACGATTATTCTGTCCACCACTAACTAATATTCTTCCATCATTTAATACAGATGCTGTGTGCCCAAATCGTGCATCAGTCATATCACCAGCAGGTGCCCAATTTCCTGTTGTTGGATCATACAACTCAGCACTATTTAAAATACTAAAACCATTAGATCCACCAGTAACTAATACTTTTCCATTTGATAATACAGATGCTGTGTGCTCATATCGATCATCAGTCATATTACCAGTAGTTGTCCAATTTCCTGTTGTTGGATCATACAACTCAGCACTATACAACCCAAAATTACTTGCACATCCGCTTCCACCACTAACTAATACTTTTCCGTTGTTTAATACAGATGCGGTGTGATACTGTCGATCATTATTCATACTAACAGTTGGCGTCCAATTACCTGTTAATGGATTATACAACTCAGCACTTTCAGAACAGGGTCCACCACTAACTAATACTCTTCCATCATTTAATACAGATGCGGTGTGACCATTTCGTGCATCAGTCATATTACCAGTAGGCGTCCACTTTTCTGTTATTGGATCATACAACTCAGCACCATTTCCATTCTTATCACCACCACCACTAACTAATACTTTTCCGTTGTTTAATACAGATGCTGTATGAACTCTTCGTGCATCAGTCAAATTACCAGTAGTTGTCCAATTTCCTGTTGTTGGATCATACAACTCAGCACTATTTAAAGTATGGCTACCATCAACTCCACCAGTAACTAATACTTTTCCATTTGATAATACAGATGCTGTGTGAATACGTCGTGCATAAGTCATGTTACCAGTATTAAACCATCCTAGAAGAAGCATTTCAATATATACAAGATGTAAAGCATTATGCTATTGAATCCTGAAGATGGCCTAATCATGCGCAGCACTTTTAAATGTTGTAAAAGAAAAAACGTTTGTTAGCTTACACCATAGAATCTTCTAGAGCTCTGTGGATTGAGAGAGGTATCCGAATATTTCCATGGAATTCTTTGTGGTGTTGTAAGGACAGAAAAGATTTTTCGTTCTCGTTGCTAGTACTTTTTTTTCTGGATAGCGGATGGAAGAATCCTGTGTTTTGGATATGACACTAATATGGTATTCGTTGAGCGAAAGATAGATGAGAGATCGAATCTTAGCGAAAAAATAATAGGCGAAAGGCTCGTTAGCCAAGAAGTAAAATAGCGAAAAAACACTTGATCGAAATGTAATTCAGCAAATGAGTATATAAGCGAAGAACACAATTAGTGAAATATTTTTTGAGAAAAAAACCCTATAGCGAAGGCAATTTTGTACGAATCGCAAAATAGAAAAAAGTAAAATCTTTACTTTTAAATGTATACACACAAACGCCAAGTGATAGAACGTATGGGTGATGAGTGGTGTGAGTATGAAAGTATCATAGTATTGACCCATACACTCACACCCTCATCGTCAAGGTCAGAAAGAGGGTGAGGGTCAATACTATGATACTGATGTCGAATTTAGAACATTCAACAAATAATGAGTATAATATCAGTCCCTTAATTGTGTTTGTATAAGATTTTCAGAAGAACGAAAGCAAATTTAAGAAGGTATTTCAGTGTTTATACTTGTACATTTCTGTGGAGAGCACAAAGCTGAAGATGATATTATCTTCAGTTTTTATTCCAGTTGAGGGTCAAGCAAGTATAGGAAAAAAAGTTCATGATCGAACGTATCTTCAACGATCTCTTTAAATGATCAGAAAGTATCTTCAGTACCGGGCGGGTGTATATGCATGTAAAGTAATTTAAGAAGAAACGGAACGCTGCAGAATATTCCCATAAGCACACAAATAGAAAAAAAAGTGAGTGTTACCGAAACCCAAGAGTATTAAACATAGATTCGAATAGATCAGCATGACACAATCTGATAATTGTCTATATTATCTATTTAAAAAGCAAACTTAACCTCCCGATAGTTAACTGGTAAGTTTCTTTTGGGACAGTAATTTGATAGATAAACTGTGTTGTATTATGTGATCAGGGTAAAATACAACTTTTGAGATCTCTAATAATCAAATACTCACGACCGCATTGATTATTTTCGCAAAAACCACTTATACAATCTGAAGACTGGATGCAAGTTTTTCCATTTCCACACTTCGTACACATCGTACCACCGCAATCAACATCCGACTCATCTTGATTTTTGACATTGTCAGTGCATGACTGAGTCGCTGAAGCTAAAAAGATTTTCGTGTTTGGAACCAAGACTGCCATATAGTATTTTTTAAATGAAGTTTTTAAAAGTTCGAATGGGGTACACTCCTTTCTAGAATGGGGTATATCATTGGGGTATATTATTTACGTCCTGAAAGAGAGGATTTATTTGAGAAAAGCGACGAAATAGAGCTGGTTTTATAGAAAAGAACAAAATATCAGTTAATTTAACTCATAATTTCAAGATATAAAACAATATAATCTGGAACCAAATATCGTTCTGAATAATGGAAGCGAAACCTTCGTTTGAAAAATATGAAAACAAAAAGTTTCATATAAAGTGTGCCAAATCTTTACATAGATCAGTAAACGGTTATTGGTTCAGCAGAGAATGTGTGAAATCATAAACAGTTTCATAATGAAGTTGATTAATTTCTTGGAAATGCTCGAAACTTCGAAGGATTGCTAGAACTTATAGGGAACTAATAGAGATCATTACAGAACTTACTAAACTATCAGGAGTTTCGGAGAAATTTCGCTAAACTTTTAAGGATTAGTGAACATACGACTGGTTTCGATCAAGTGGTACTAAACCTTTCGAGCTTATACAAAGCCAATGGTTGGCTCAGTTAGAAATGCTCTGAACGTTTTGAATACTGATGAACCTGTACTGGTTCTGTGGAAAAAGATCTGAACCATATGATGGCATGCGAAACCAGGCAAGGTTAAGTAGAGAGTACACGAAGCCTACCGTCAGACTTCGAAACCATTGATGGCTCTGTGAACACTTTACAGAACCATCAATGGTTTTCTGTATTTCGTAAAAAATCTTTACGAGGTTTTGTTTGTAGGAAAAAATAATGTATAAATGTGAAACCAAGGGATTCAAGATGAAATTAAACAAGATTAATTCTAAAATCTACTGGTGAGTTCATTATCAGTACATTTTATCATAGATGTCTCTATAAAATGACAGAATTTTAGAAGTAAATGAGGCTTGTTTATATCGCAGACCTAAAAAGGTCTAATGAGATATAAATTTTGTATCCATAGGGTACAAGATATCAAAATGGGGGTACATATGGCAGTCCTAGGTCCAATGGTCATTAGAATATTCCAAAAGTTTCAACCGAAAAAAAATGTTCTTCTTTCAAGATATTGAACTTTTAAAAAATAGAATATTAACGTAGATCGATGTTGAATCTAAGTTTACTAGAGAATTCAATATCTCGACGGAGGAATCATTTTTTTAGTTGAATTTGTCGAAATATTCTCATGATGATTGGGCCTCTCTATAGGTAATATATCAAGCAAAAGCTGCGACATTTAATTTATTGCTCTCTATTGAAGAAATGGTCGAAAATCCAGTGAAAAGCCTGTAACTCGGCTTTAAAGGCATAGTGACCCAAATCTTCTTAGGGTCACTTAGCTATAGCCAAAATACCAGCTCAAAAGCGATTAGAAAGTTGACGCTGTTCCCTCGTTAGATTTAATACTCACGACTGCATTGATTATTTTTGCAAATATTACTTATACAATCTGATGACCGATTGCAAGCTTTTCCATTTTCACACATCGGACATTTGATCCCACCACAATCAACATCCGACTCATCTTGATTTTTCACATTGTCAGTGCATGAGCCAATAGCTGAAGTGTAAAATTCCCAATATCCACAGTCCATCAAGATTAGTTACTTACGGATACACTTGTTTTCTCTGCAAATATCACTGATACAGTCGCAATCTACATTGCACATCATTCCGTTATTACATTTTGAACATTTTCCACCACCACAATCAATATCAGTCTCGTCTTGATTTTTCATATGATCATCACAACAAGGTTCTAAATTATGGTGCTAATTGCATTTTTTGTATTTTACATATTTTCATCAATATGAAAGTTAGTCAAGAAACTTTAGATATATTTTATTATAGACTAATGAGAATTTTGAGGCTTACGTGTTTTAATCCTTTCATCAATAAAATGTATTGCTAGAAATCACCTATTCAAATAATATATAAAAGGTTTAACATACTTCTCGGTCTCAGCTGTCCACCTTCTTCTGAACTTGAAGAATCAACCGTAATCACTACTTTACCATTAATAAGAACGAAACAGGAAAACAAATAAAGCGCCAATACGACGAACCTTGGAGAACTATATAAGAAGAACATGAGATTACGCATATGTATAAATTATTGATTTATATATTTCCAGTGTCTCTCATCTATATTTTACAAAAAGTTCAAAGCATAGCTTATTACCTGAACGTAAACAACATCGTTGAAAGCAGAAGAACAACAACGAATATATGAAGTTCTTGTAGAATGAAATAATGTAGTAAGTAAATCTAGAGAAACAATTTTGAGGCTTTGAGATGCACATGCATATCCACACCTGCAGAACACGTAAATGAGAGAAAAGTAGAAGCATACAAATTGTAACATTATGTAGGTCGTTTTATATTGAAATCAAATTCTATGCACGCAGAAAACAGTTATTCGCAGGCGCAACTGCTGAGTTACTTGGCAACTTAGTATTGACACATTTTTCTCCGCGATTAAGAAAAAATAAAAGCCTTAACAAGAGAGAAAAAAGAAAGTTTTTCTTCTTCAAATGAATTCTACCACAGTTTTTTATTCGTACATCTATACTCCGTGACCGAATTTTGTTTGTTTTAGTGCGATTGCATGCTATTGACTAGTAGAAAGAGAAACGAAGAAAAAGAATAGTAATAAATGGCAATACAATTTTTTCATCGCAACACTTTAAAAGGCAAATGAATAGCAGAAAGAAAAGCAGCTGAAAATCATTTTCGCCGATTGTAACCCTCATCGCCGAAATAGGCATCACCGAATATTGCTTATTTATTGATGTCTCACATACTGATTCTAGGAAATATTATTTTCGGCGATCATAGTGTTTGTTTTCATGTCCATCTATACGAGAAACTACAAAGAGATATAGTGCACATATTTAATAATTGTATCAGCATCATTTCAGTTTTACCATTTTTCTTAACCTAAGGAATAAGTTTCGTCTGAATAGCCCTCCGATAGAGCTCTTATACTGATTAAGAAATTTTTATTGTATATTACGTTACGACTTTGCAACAACAGCTAAACTTCTTTTCTTTTATTTTCTTCCTTTGGCAATGTGTATTTTGTCGTTTACTTAACACTTCCTTGCGATTTTCCTCTCGATTACACTGCAAATGTATGTGCCTTGTATGTGTGTCTTTTTCTTAATCCAAAGATAAGTTTATTTGATAGTATTGCTCTGTTAATACGTGTTTTGCATTAGAAATATCGGATGCGTCAAAGAATTGAATGGAAAAATTACAAGAAAATGGCATCACAATTATTACCAATATCTGCTCTACGTCTTTTGATATCATTTCCACCAATGATTTTGTATACTACATATTCAGCTGGTCTATCATTTTATGTAGCTGCCGATTATTTTCTTGATGCTTCCTTCTTTTTTTATTGGGTCACAATCTCTACTTCATTTGCGCGTGTTCTCTCATTACCTGAATTGAAAGTAAAATGTCAAAATATCTTTTTATTTTGGCAATGTAATCGAGTTGTTCGTCGAGAAATTTTGCCTATGAATCGTGTATAAGTTGTTCAAACTTAAAACAATTCATTAATTATTTTCCATTGAATATGAAAAGAAATGATTAGCAAAGATCAATGTTGTATACTGTCATGTTACTTTGTTGTTAGAAATATTGATGTTGTTGTTCTGTCAATAAATTGTTCTTCATGTATCTTCATTGATGACTTTTCAATCTCTTTCTTTTGTGTTTTTGTGAATAACACGATACCGAAGAGTAGAATCAGTAAGAACTTATTTTTGATCTAATGTGTGGATAAGTATTTAGTAAGTGTGTCGATGCGAAATTTGATTGCTTATAATTATAGTTGATAAACAATCCATTATCTTTAAAATCACGTCCTGTAGAACAATGGTTAAATTCTTATATTCAAAATCCATGATTTCTTAGTAAAATGGTTATATTGAGCATCTTTGAATTATTTTCCACAAGAAGATAGTGTATTTGAATATTCTAATTCATAGTACATAGTATAGATAGTTATGATATACTTTGTACTGTATTATTATTTTCTTTCCAGATATTTTTAACCAATTCATCCATAGTTACGATATTACCAACAACAGAATTACTTTCTGTAATGACAAACTGGTTGAGTAGCTGACCGCTTCTCACGGTATCGATGTTTATTGACTACTCTACATGACCAGAATGTGTCTCTTTCAAAATAAGACACGCGCTTATATAGAGAAGAGGAAGAGAGATATGACCCGGAGATAGTATGATACAGAGGTGAGAGAAAAAAGAACAGAAAGAGATGAACGATATCATTATCGTTACACCCTCCCACTCAGATTGACGCACTCCTGGGCGTCTTTACATCCAAAAACAACACAATAACAAGCGAATAATAAACTGAGAAAAACAATCTAACGTATGATGATGACGCAATATGGAAAAAAAATGGCAAAAAAAAAACAATTTCATAATATTTAACTCATGCGTTACACTTATTAAACATATAATTTCGAACATACAATGTTTAGGCGCAAGACAACATTTATCTTTGACAATCATTTGGACACAACAAAAAAAATTGTTTCACTTAAGTCACACAGACAGAAAGATCAATTATTATAGAGAATACCTACAGCTTTCGATTTTTTTTTCTCCTCATAAAAATTCCATATTTCGCGCGATGCGAACAGAAGAATCAATCTATAAAAGGTCAAACACTTTTATGTCACTTTCCATAGATTGCATTTAATATCCGATGACAATTCTTCCATCTATATATATAAAGAAGAAAGTTTGTCTGTCTGTCTGTCTGTCTGTCTGTTCGCTATGCATTCAGTCCCTGTAGCAGCTATCGGCGTGGAACTTTCCACAATGCTTCCTGAGACCCAGA